GAAATAATAGAATCAATATAATATTTATATATTTTATTATAATGTAGATATTTTTAATACTTTTGTGCTTTTTATAATATTTGATCTTTTTTGCATTCACTATGCTATACTGAAAGATATTTTTGATGATAAATATTTGGGTGGTTTGCCTGAACATTGATGAAAATACGCTCTGTAGTAGCGAAAAGTAACAAGTGCTTGAAAGATTCGTCAGTCCTGTTAGGTCCTAGGTAGCTCAGTAGTTAGAGCCGCCCGTATTGTGAAAGGTCTTGGGTTAGAATTCTAATTCAGAGTACCAGGGGCAAAATGGATTTATTAAGAATACTTATGTACTATGTATTACCATTCAAGATTTTAATGCGAGTTTTAGATATCTACCTCCCGAAAATTCTGCAGATTTTGGTAAAATAGATATTTAATTTCGATAAAGGGTCATTGTGTTTCTGATGAGAGATCGTGTTATCAGTCGCAGAACTGACATATATATTTCCCGTGACTTTGCCCGAGTAAATTGATGTCAAAATTAAAAATAAGTTTTCATTTGTGCGCACTAAAATGACAATAAATAAATTCTAAACATTATTTTGCTGCTGCAAAATGCTCATAATCAAAAATTTACCTAGCAGTAATTGATTGAAAAAGCTTATAGCGCTAACGAAATCGGAGAAGACGAAAAACATACATTTCTTACGCGCTACAAATTTTTCAAGTCAATTACTGTTAGATAAAATTTTGGTCATAGGTACTTTACATGTTTAGAATTTATGTATTTACGTTTTGGTACAAATAAAAAGTTATTTAAAAAGAAAACTTTTTTATGTTTTTATTTTTGTCTGAATACGTTATTGGTCTCATAAAGACAGATCTAAAGAGTCCAAACACTATGCAGTTGCGTTATTTCATTGCTAAGTTCCTATGACCACCTTCTGACTTCAGCCTCATATCAGCTTACTGACACCATAATATTGCATTACCATCTGACTTACATGTTTATGTAAAATTTCAAATCTACCATTCATTGGGAATGTGGGTCGAATTTGAGTTCCAATAATTGCACAGTAACTAGCATACTAATAATTATAATATCACTCGCGTATAATGTACCTTCCCGTATTTAAAAAGAGAAAAGAGTTCTGTAGTCAATATAAAAATTGACTATTCTATATTGTCTCTGATCGGGGTGATTGTCTCAGATACTCCATGATACGGGGGCTTTAGCTTTATGTTATCTAATATTAAATTTCAAAATCGGTCCAGTTGTTTTAGAGCCCATCATCAGCCCTTTTACGTCCCCACTGCAGGGGCTCAGGCCTTCCTTATGGATGGTTAAGGAGGATGGGCCATGACCCTCCACGCTGGCCCAATGCGGATTGGAGGGTTTTAGAGCCCATTCGATACAAATAAACAAGCAACCAAATGTTTCCTCTTTATAATATTAGTATAGCTATCAATCAACGTCGCACACGCACGAATGATCTGTCGCGTACTAAAGTGAAATGCGTTGAAATTATTAAACTTAGTAATTACACAAATAGAATCGTTCATAAATTGAGTCATTACATTAATATACATTAAGATCTTGTTAAGCTAAATTGTTTTAAGTGATGTTTATAATTCCAGATGCTTAATGCCATCATATCAAGCAGATATCCAACTAGTAAATCTAACAGTATTTAAAAAAATACATTTTATTTTTATTTTTGTGTTTGAGACATTATTGTGTTTGAGACAAACGAGTAACGTAAAATTTTTGTCAAGATTAAATAATGAATTAAATCTTATTTATCCATACTTATATTATAAATGCGAAAGTAACTCTGTCTGTCTGTTACTTAATCACACCTAAACCACTGAACCAATTTGCATGATAAACAGCATAAAGTACACAAAACCAACCGAATACGAGTTGAGGAGCAACTTTTTTCAGTCCGTCCGGGTCAAATAATAGGAAACCCAAACATATTCGGACTCTATTTAGAAACATACTAATTAAATTTAATTCAATTACTACAAAATGGAAATATTGATACACCGATGGAATTGACACACGTAGATGCTAATTTTATTACCTCATTTCTAATTAACGATAACAACCCACTCATAAGTAAAGGTATTTCGTTATAATTTTGAAACGTTAATTAGTAATAAATAAGTTGCATTTTTAGGGTAATTATAACGTTTATATTTAGATTGACTTAATAATTCAATCTCGTATAAAATGATTCAGAAGTAATTTTAAAAAGTTTATTTGGTGTTTATCTTAAAGCAAAACGCTTATGAAATCTCCAACCTCAGATCATCAGCCCCAAAGTCTGGATTTTGTTAAAGTAATTTTGTATCTACACTACTTTAACAAGATCCTTAGTGATATATTAGATTAGCCTATATACGAGATTTAAAAAGTCGTATTAAAAATCGTCTACAAGCTAAAGGTCCATTATTATTAAATGATTATGTTATCATTATAAGACCATAGTTTTTTTTCTCTCTCTTTTATAATGTATTGATCTGGTTATGACTCTGGTTATGAATAGTCAATATTTATTTATGACATCATCATCAGCCCTTTTACGTCCCCGCCGCAGGGGCTCAGGCCTTCATTATGGATGGTTAAGGAGGTTAGGCCATCGCCCTTTTCAGGGCTGTGGTCGGCGTATTCCGGTGGTAGCCGCGACCGTACGGGGGGGGGGGGGGGGACCCACGATAAGGGCTCTGCCTGTGAGGGTCCTCCCAATGAACGGGTAAGAGGGACCGGAGATGTACAGTTGCGCATCACCGATCTCTAGACGTTTAGACGGTTCGCGCGCCGGCAGGCATTGCGGGCCGATCCCGTACATCGCCTTCCATGGGAGGGACATCGCTGAGTTTTAGTGGGTAAACTCTTGTTTCTTGTCTAGCCCCTTCGAGGGTGGGGCCACAGGAGGAGCCCCACATAATCCGTGAAGCCCGCATTGGGTGTAGCGGGTATGCATAACGCATTTCTCAGCGTCAAAAGAAAAGAAAAAAAAGGAGGATGGGCCATGACCCTCCACGCTGGCCCTATGCGGATTGGAGGGTACTAACGGCTGCAAATGCAGCCGGGACCAATGGCTTAACGTGCCTTCCGAAGCACGGAGTAGCTCAAAATAATAATTTTTGGTCCCCATTCCGTGACTGACCCTTGCGAAAGTTGCTTAACGACAACGATCGCGGGCCGCGGCGCTTATCCACTACGCCACCGAGTTACTTATGACATGGTTTTTGTAAATCTCATTACTCCTATTTGAGCTGATGAGTTTCTTGCTCGTTCTTCTTATCAGCCAAAAGACGTCCTGAACGAGTGGTAGGGAAAAAATGTTGGACGATTCAAAATTACTCTATTTGAATAAAGATTATTTTGACTTTGACATCGTTTAAGAATATATAAATGACAAAAAGACGTGGTTTTAGATATTTATGCATTATATGCCGTATCCTTTTTATAATGAATATTGGACATTGATTTATTAATGAATATATTAATCAGTTACCCAAAAAAAGATATGTTTTGTTATTTCTGATATTGTAATGGAACGTGACTTATTAACCCTAAATCAAGAAACATTGATTTAATGTAAAAGGTGGCAAATAATATGTTTAACATATCTAGATCGTGACTTGGATAAAGCTATCGTATACTTGTGAGTTACTTAAATTCATTCTTCGTTATATTTAAATCCAGAATTATCTTATGAAATAGAATATGAAAAAAATTCCATATACTCAATAAAAAAATGCATATAAGTTATTTGTTTCCTTAAACACAAAGATGTCATCCTTCTAAAAAAAAAATCCGTTTTCGTTAGAAACTATTTTTTACAAAAAACAGGTCTTCTTAGTTATTAAGTTTACTTACATATAATTTAAACACTACTACATATCATATATTTCAATTCAATATAATTCCAATCATTCAAATGTAACAACCGATTAAGTAACACTTAACAAATAGAAATATAATCGATAATATTATTAAAGGTATTTGATACACTCTAATTTATAAGTTATTTTTATTGTAAGTATATAAAGTTTATTTTGTATAACACTGCTTATACTATTTAAACTTTTTCTGTGTTATATTAATATTATATTGTCTCAACGGAGTACTAAATTACGATAAATTATTTAAATCTTATCGAATATACTTTAGTAAGTAAATATTATACTAACCAAAAGATATGCTATATAGTTTATTCATATTGTTACGATTATGTCAGAGATAAAGATAAGTCTTATAATAAATACAGAATTTATGTCCGAAAGATTTCAAATATAGGCAAATTAATTCATGTGACATATTAATGAAAATATAATTTATAAATCAGACAATAAGATACTGATAGAGCGCGAACCAAACGAAATTAATTTAATGATTTTTGTATACACTCTAAATTGAAATTTGATCCTGATGCTGCCAAATTTGAAACAGGCGAAATGTGAAGAGTCGAGTTTTCCGAAAAAACCTTTAATCATAGATTTCTTCCGTTTGGAATAATGTGACTCGATTATTTAGTAAATGCCCTTTAAATACCAATTCTCTCAAAAGTCTTATGAGGAAACTAACGAGTTTCTTCATCACATCAAGTGAACATTCATATTTCATTAATAGCAGCAGAGAGTTAATACGTGTTTTATGCATTTTATAAATATCAAAATTACAATTGTAATATTTTATTAAATTAGAGCAGTCGCACAGATTATGAAAGGTTATGGGTTCGAGTCCCATCTTAGAGTGCCAGGGACAAAGAATTTAAATTCAATTAAGCATTTTTCATTAAAATTATAAGTTAGAATTTAATCAATATGGCTCTCTATAGATTTGTAAAATTATATATGTATATTTTTATTAAAGAAGATTATTAAAAAACAATTAAGTTTAAGAATAAAGATTTAACCTGTTACGCAATTCTTTATTATATTTTTTGTAAATAAGCTTATTATTATTATTATTATTGATATGTTCCTGTATAATAAATACTTACATTACTAGTAAAATCATTGGACCTCGACTGCAAAGTATCGAAGTTCTCTTCCTGTACCAGATGGTTTTTCAGCCTCAACGGCTGTGGTACTTTCACGCGAAGATTCGGCTTTACTTGTTTCTGATTTTCCACTTTCACCTCACTATCACCATTAAATGGGCAGGACGCGACGTAACCGTTAATCTGCTCCATTTTCGTCAAACCCTCTGTCACTCGGTCTGGATCTTTAACGCAGCAGAAATTAAAAATATTGACGTCAATTAAAAAGAAAACTTTTTTGAATTTCGAAAGTCGCGATCAAAGTCATAGACAATATCAAAGGCGGATGTCTAAACGCGCGCGAGTCGATTTAACTGAGCGTTGTGCTCTTACGCCATGGTTTATATGCATACTGTTTGAAAGACGTTTGGCTACTAAACGGCCTGGGTGATCGTATCAGACTTGGAAACGTTTTCTGCGGATTGCGCGTGAGACTCACGTGTGTTAATGAATAAGATGCTATTATTTACATCGGGACAACGAGTCTCTATTGCTTTATTTTTATGTTAAGTATTCTTTATATGTTTATGTAATATTGTTTTGATAATTGTGGTACCCGTTTAAACTCATTTACCTAAAAGGTCACCAGGTAAACGTGTTTAGAATTTGTCAACAAGTAATAGGAACAGGCGTCGGTATAGAACACGATAACAGAGTGGGCACGAACTAAATGATGGATATTATCATATTGCGACGGTTCGCCGACACACAATAATGAGCTTGTAATAAGATTAAAGATCGGATAAGCAATGAGCTTTATTGTTGATTATAATATTCCGTAGACCGATACAGTGAACTAATTTAGTGTTAAGATGGCGCCAAAAGCAATTATTTCAATAGCTGCTGTTTGCTTAGCCTTTTAAATACTTATAAAATAAACAAAGTTAAGAGAAAGGATACAGGTAAAAATGTTATCGGTGTACAAATTTAAACCGACTTTTAAAAAAAGTTATCGGTTCGATGTATGTAATTTCGTCGGAATGGCGTATTATTCTTGTATATTGGTCTGTATTCTAAACACGTATACAAGCTTTTATAGATGAATGTATGTTTGTCCATGGATATCTAGCAAACTAGACGTCGGATTGCAATGATTCTTTTTTATGCCTCGTGGTCATCATATAAACACAAAAATTGACAATTTAACATTAGTCAAAAATTTTATGCTTATTTATAGATTATTTATATATTATAGATATATTGACAAAAATCGGTCATCAACCTTCTGACAATAAGTATAAGTAGCAACGTTTTATTATCAACAAACGTTGAGAAAAGAAAGTGATAAACTAAGAGAATATGATTTACCGTAACAAAAACAATTTAAAATGTTTACCATGATTATTTGTTTTAAATATTTTTCTTTGATCTTATTATATAGTTCATAGAAATTGACAAGATACGCGAGTCAATTTGGCGCGTTTTTTAAAGCAACCGCACATCTATTAAAATTAGAACGTTACGAACGAAACGAAAGGGAGATATTTCAGCATTCTTTGTTTATACAATCATATGAATATGTCACACATATATGCGCTATGTTAGAATCTGTGGTTAGAATTCTAATGTTACCTGCTATTAATTTGCAAGGTGTACTTATAGGAAATTTGTTCCTAATCCCACGGCTTTGTTTACACACACAGATCACAATCAAACGATGTTAATAAAGCATTTGGAGAGACTGTGTATAAGTTCTATATCATACAGTATCACTATATCTACCAAAAGACTGTTGGAGTATTAACTTTTATGTAAATATGTATCTGTTTATGTAAGAATGTTCATATCGCTCACTGAATAGTACAGTGGCACAACTCAAAAACCATTATTTCGAGAAAACGCCATTTATTTATTTATTATTGTGGTGGCATCCCATAGATAATTTAAAAAAAAAATAAAAAACTTTACAGTAATAATATAATACAAACGATTTAACTGTTATGCTAAAAAATTGATTTTCATAATTATAAATATACCTATTAGATTTTCATAACTCCGGAGAGCGTTTCCCAAAATTATGGTTTTTGAGTTGTGCCACTGTACTATTCAGTGAGCGATATGTTCCCTTATAACATCAAAACTACTCATCTTAATTGGACAAAAGAGGTATCACTAGAAGCGTCTTAGATGTCCGCGTGCTATAAGCTAGTAACGTTACGTTAAATTAGCAACAGCGCCCTCTAGAGAGCATAAAGTAAAAACTAAAAAATATATTATTCAATCATTTCGTGTAGGGTATCAAATGAAATGGCTTAATTAATTAAATGAAAAAATAGATTCAAAACCTAAAACACGACTACAACTAAATCACGCTCTGAAAAGTTTGAAACAAGAAATTGATTTTATAGCGACAGGTATAATATAATAGCGATGACCAAAGGAGAACGTAGTCGAATGCCACAACATTTTTTTTGTTGTGATCAATGGCATACCCAATAAAACCTCCTTCCTCCTCTATGGACGATGAACGGTAACAGCTGAGGCCTCTTACCGAGTGCATCGCTACTATTTTGAACACTGTCAAAGACATTAGATGCGATATTATGGAATCTCCCGTTTTAACCTGTTTATTGGGGGACCCCACCTGGGCTTGAACCCCGTTGTGCTCCCCCGACAGTCGCGGCGCCCTTCAGTGTCCAAATCTGCCAGTATCATAGTGGAAATTATCATTTCTAAACTTTAAGCGACTTTCGCAATGGTCGGTCAGAATGGATGTCCAAAAAAATTTAGTACCTCGAGCTCCTCCGTTCTCACGGGATTTTTTTTTATCTCGAGCTACTCTGTGCTGCAATCCCAGGAGCATTTCCAATCGCTAAAACCCTCCAATCTGCATTGAACCATCATGGAAGATCATGGCCCATCCTCCTTAACCATTCACATGGAAGACCTGAGCCCCTGCAATGTAATGTGACAGGGCTGATGGCGATTTATATAAAAATATAGAAACCATCTGTATACTCAAGGACCCCTTGAGGTCCTCTGACCACAATTTGAGATACAGTGCCTAAGCGCATAACACCTTCGATACAACTTTGTATTTATAACAGGTTATACTCCAGCTGCGTGATCATATTCTGTAATCGTATAGTGTTAAGAATTATAAATGAACCAAACAGGAAAATTTTATCACTGCTTTAGATACTAAGAATTGCGTAAACTGAATTTAAGTCAAATCAACAACAATTTAAACTAAATTCCCAATTCCAATTGATTTAAAACCATAATGTGACAAAAGTAGAGTTCAAAATTCATCACATCAATTATAATATACCAATACAAAACTTGGTTATATTTAAGGCGCTCTCTTACATGAAGCGGTTCCCTGTAACGTAGATAATATTTCAGATTCTATTATGACATTACAAAACTGCCTTCTTAACTTGCGCTTTTGTTTGTAGAGGAACTGCAGCATATTTGGGATACTGCAGGTAACTTGGAATACTTCGGTATCTATATAAATATTAACAGCATCTATGTTTTTTGCCGTAAACAGAACGTTGTAAGACACACCACGACATATAGCATTAAAAGCAGAACACCATTTTGACATTCCGGCAAAGAGTAGTATAATATAGCATTCCGGCTACCAGATCCGACGGAACAAGACGACAGATTTCAAAACTTTTTTGGTAAGTATGCAAACAACGATAATTATTTACTATCAAACCTAAAATATTTAGTGTAATAATTCAAACTGTAAGTGAACTTTTTAGTTAATAATTTAACTTTGATTTGTGAATATTTCTAGAATTGAAAATGTGATATACCGTTTTAGCTTAGGATGGTATGTTGTTAATTTGGAATACTACACTGAAATGTTATAAAGATTATAAATTTATTAGTTTTTAAGATCAAGTGTTAACAGTATGTTGATAAAACATATAATTGTTAAAATATATATAGATAATAATATATATAAGTATATAATATAAAGTGAATATAATTTGGAATACTATATTCCAAATTACCTGCCCTCTAAGTCCATTCAAATAATTTCTAATTTTTAGTTGTTTTTGTTTTTTGATAAGGTTCCTGATTTTGTTCTTTATAATAGTTATAAATATTAAAGTTTAATTTTCCAAGTAATTAATAAACGTATTTTTTATTGAGCTATCCCTTTTTTATTTAAATTTGTTCTCAAAAAACAAAATGGTATTCCGAACATGCTGCAGTTCCTCTAATGTTAGATTTCAGAGACGTTACAAGTATCAATTATTATCAACTTGTACACTGTTTTCTCGGTTCCTTACCTTCGTCAATAGAAAGTGCAAGATTATTATGTGCCAGGACTTTGAAGAGATGAGTAAGTTTAATGAACAAATTTTACTATGGGAACGACACCGAATTCGTAATCACTTAAACTTATAATAAATTTGTAATACCTACTATAGCCAACAGTATGAATCAGTGATTATTTTTTTCGCTAACTCATTATTGCTCCCATAGTAAAAGTTGTTCAGTATGCTCAATTCATCCACTCCACGATGTCCTGTTATATAATAATCTTTCACCTTCTTTAATGCTTGAGTCTGACATAACAGGTTGCGCAATTAAATTGTCAATTCGATTGCTTCACTGAACCAATTTTGACTATGTAACCTTATATTATATAATGTCTCTGTAACGTTATAGTTCGGTATTACATGCAAATGCTACAGGGATGTAGGAAGAGTGAGATGTATAAGTGAGAATTAAGTTCTAAACAAATAATTTTAAACTCTTTATTATTATTTAACACCGAAAAATCGAGATTCAAAGTATGTATTACTAAATCTCCAAACTTTCTTTGCACTATTAGTAGTTTTCGTAGGAATCAGGTTTTCTACATATCAAAGTTAGTCATAAAAATTACCTGAGCCAAAGTCAGATGATGCGAAGGATACTAAATCTGTCGCGACCAAAGTCACGTAGCATCAAAACTAGCTTTATAATTGGAATCGTGCACCGACAATATACCTACTATGCGATATTGCAAATAAGAAGTTGATTATAATTTTTTTTTATGATTTCTCTTGTATCTGAATTAAGTCAATAATTTCAAACTAAAATTTTATATTGTTGGCCTAAAAGAAATCATTAAATAGAAATAACAGCCTACCTTAGTAACTATAAAGTTTTTTTTATTTATATATAGTTTGCATAATTCTTACTACCTACCTCATACGACAGAACATGATGACGAATCCCGTAAACGTAATTATATATCGACTTAATTCAATAATTAACTATTAAAGTTAGTTCACGTCAGTGCTGTAGCGATAACTAAAACTTATCGATGTTATTGTATTGCTTTTCGGCCCTGAGAATTAATCGAACTATCTACAGTTCTACGAATTTTCAATAAATCAACATCTTGTATTCAGCTGTTTCAAGCGA